AAAAAAAAAAAAAAAAGCCAGAGACAGGTGACTCTTCCTTTCATCTGAACACTTAGGGGTCACTGTAGGGTTATTAATTGGCCTAATTTCAATACTGTTGTGTCTCAAGGAATAGGGAGGCCTGAGAAGAGGTAGAGAGAGAGATGGGGGAATGGCAGGTTGGTAAAGCCGTCAGAACACACAGAAAGTTTATCAATTAAGTTTGCCGTCTTGCGTGGGTGTGACTCATGGCTCCCCAAAACAACTTAAACATCAAAGATTACTGATTACTGATTACCATAACAGATACAATAATAATGAAAAAGTCTGAAATATTGCAGAAATTACCAAAATGTGACAGAGACACGAAGTGAGAACCTGCTATTGGAAAAATGGCACTGACAGACTTGCTCGATGCAAGGTTGCCACAAACCTTCAATTTCTAAAAAGCATATTACCCATGAAGTGCAATAAAATGAGGTATATGGTCCCCCAAAATACCTAGACGGTTAGTTTTAAGGTATCTTCAAAACATTAAGCCTAACTGAGGGTTAACACTAACAAACATTTTGGTAGTTCTTTGATATCCTTGCTCTAAAAGGGAACTGTCTATGGATTCTAATTCAAAGTCAAGAGTTGGAACTTGAAAAAGTCATCTTGCATGATCCTGTGAAGAAGTGGTTGAATACAGAGTTTTATATTTTCAATTGTGAGTATCTTGAGAGATATTTCTAAGAGCTGCTAAAATGAACAAGAGTACAATCTCAAATTTCATACACACAGTTGATGAATAAGAATGTATAAAAAGTTAACAAAGTTAAAGACACATAATCTTAACTTCAATGTCACATAAATATGTTCCCTTATTTAACAAATTAAAATCAACAGGAGAAATAACACATATGCAGTGAAAATAAGCAACAAAAAACAAAAACAACAGAGGACAACACTGTAAGACTGTCACTAGCCAGTGTTAAGACAATAACGATGATGTAAGTGAGTTAAAAAATTTAGAAATGGTTATAATCCCAAGATGAAACAGAGATGTGCTATTCTTATTTTGTCCCTGAGGAAAATAAGGAAAGCAAAAAAGGAATGTCTTAACTTTCCCATTCCCTTTCAACTTTGAAGCATGGCTTGAAAATATGAGTGAACTGCATTTAGGTTATTGAAAAGTTTGAGATGAAGAGAGGATGGGAAGTTGAAGTGTCAGCAATAATTGAGGAAAAACAACAGGGTCATACATTTAGGCTCTTTCTGTAAATACCATAAAAACACCTAACATAATCAGGGACATTTGTAGGGATCAAGAAAACGAATAATGTTTTGCAATTTTAAATAATCATAGCAACAATAAAGCACATTTCTATGATTAACTTTTAGTATAAAATTATCATTTTCTTATAGCTGTTGAAATTTTTATTGCTTTACAGTAATAAAGTATCATCTAAGCATTCCATATTACCAAATGGGAATGAATGAGATAACCCCCTAAACATTACCTACACCTAACTATGGAGTTGGTATCTTGGTCTATGTGAGTGTCTGCGGTACACAAAATAAGTCTTTCCTTTCTCATACAGAATTAAGATGACTAGTTATTCTACTCAAGTCTCTTTCAGATTAGGCAAGTTTGTTCAATTCCTGCCCCTTCTACTCTAATTTATATATGAATGCAAAAAGAAAGTTCTAAAATCTACTAAAGGTTCCCATTCTTATTTAACTACAGTTCTACCACAAAAACTAAGCCATGCCTAAAGCTTATTATTATTAATACCTAGGCACAGTCACTGAAATATAGCCATCAGAAATTTTCATTACATAATGAATTAATCTAAAGTTTTAAAATTGCTACTCTAGTCATTAACGGTATTTTTATTAAAAGAACAATATTTACCTTAACATTAAAATTTTAAGATACCTTATAGCAAAAGTTCTCTATTTTTTTCTGCTCTAACACACCTGCAGATATGATACACCTACCAGTAATATTCAATCACTATAGCAGTAATTCTCAAAGGAGGCGGCTACATTAAAAAATTATCAACTGCTTTCTATAAAAGGCTTTTGATAATCATGTGACTTCAGAAAAGCTTAGCTTTCTGAAATAACACAGAAGGAATATCAGTAAACTCCTACCTGTTCTGGCATAGCTCCATGTTCAATTCCAGTCTTCAATAATCTGTAGCAATTACCAAACAGATCCCATTTTGTGAGATCATGAGCGCTAAAATAAACAAAAATGCATTAACTTTATTCTAAAGTGAAAGGAAATTTAAATTTCCACTCAGTTTTAGTGAGTGGAAGATAAAATAACTTCATTTTCTTGTAGAATTGAAAAAGATCGATAAAGGAAATGTTCAAATGCTCAAACTTAAAAAAAAAAAAGGTGAGTAGAAAGAAAGAAGCAAATAAAGAGGGACAGAAAGAAAGAGAAAAAAAACAAAAAAGAGCTAATACTTGGAATTTATTGAAGAAATCAACAATAATAAAACCTCACACATTTAAGTGAAGGTTTCTACCACTTCTGACTGTGATAATGGTGACATTTTAAATTCTCATGAGCACTACTACCAGAAATTGTCCTTTTGACACTGGCTGGCAACTTTTATTTTTAAACAACAAAATACTTTTCAAAATAAGAGTTTGGTTTCTCCACTGAATTTCAAAAAATGTACTTGTATATAAGAAAAGGTTTAGATTTTAGAAACTGCTTCTTAAATCTAAAGTATTCATTATTGTAAGAGGTACAACTCAACTTTCTTTGGACAACATGGTTCTCTGTTTTTCCTTCTTCATGGAAAGACAGGCATATCTCATTACAAGGGACATACAAACTACAATTTGAGAACATGTATTTCATTGATCTGAGTTTTATTTTCCCTATTCAAATCCAACTGTCCTGTCAACATAGTAAGAAAACAATAACCAACCAAATAAGAACAATTCAGGAAAAAAGCTTACAAGAATAACTTCCATGGCTTTCCCCAAAATCTTATTTCTTTTTTCATCTCTTTATGTTGACAGAAAAAAATTGCATATATTGTGTACGTGTCATTCTAAAATACGTACACATTGTGCAATGACTAATGAACTAATTAGCATACGCATTACTTCACATACTTATGTTTGTGTGGTGAGACACTTAAAATATACTAAGTGATTTTCAAGAATACAATACATTGTCATTAACAATAGTCACTATGTTGTACAATACATCTCTTGAACTTATTCCTCTTATCTAAGCTTTTGTATTCTTTGACCAATATCTCCCTAACTCCCCATGTTATTTCTTATTTAGCAAGATTTCTAAAAGCTGATACTAATTAAAATTTATACCACCTTATGAAATAAGCCCATCTAATTTTTTCTTTTTTTTTTCTGAGACAGGGTCTTACTCTGTTGCTCAGGCTAGAGTGCAGTGGCATCATTATAGCTTACTGCAACCTCAAACTTCCAGGCTCAAGCCTCCTGAGCCTCCTGAGTAGCAGGGACACTACAGGTGTGTACTACCAAGCCCAGCTAATTTTTCTATTTTTTGTAGAGATGGGTCTTGCTAGATTGCTCAGGCTGATCTCGAACACCTGGCCTCAAGTGATCCTCCAGCCTCGGCCTCCAAAAATGCTGGGATTACAGGTGTGAGCCACCACGCCTGGTCCTAATTTGTAAAATAATACTAATTGACAAACTTTTATAGTGTACATTCATTACATAAAGTGATAAATCTTCATTACACTAATGATAAATCTTACACCTTAAGCAATTAAATAAAAAAATTCATCTAGAGAAAATACGAATAAAGAAAATACATCATCTCAGTATTTCTCTAAAATTTTCCATTGTTATATGAATGTCAAACATTACAAATACAATCAGTCTGTGTATGTTGGCTAGTATATGTTATTCACTAAATCTACTTTATCTTCTTCTTTCTGAAATGAGATCTTGCTATACTGTCCAAGTTGGAGTATAGTGGCTTTTCAGAGGTGCCATCATAGCACACTATGGCCTTGAACTACTGGGCTCAAGGGAGCCTCCTGTTTCACTCTCCTCAGCAGGTGGAAGTGTGCATGTGCCACTGGTGATGTGCCACTGGTGCATGAGCATGTGCCACTGGTGCATGAGCCAGGTGGCTCACCACATCTACTTTAAAATAAAATGACGTACTTGTGAAAAGAAGTTAACCGCTTTAATGTAGAAAGAACGTTGTAAATATCATCATCATCAGCTTCTTCTCCCTATAAATAAAAAAACAAACATTATCTCATTACCACAACTTTACTCACGTCAAATTCACATTAGAATATTAATGCTGCCTAAAGAAAAATTCTTTTTAATTATATAAATAGTATAAATGCACTATCGGTAAATAAAAATAAACAAAAATCAGAAAAACCAAAACACCCATAATCCCAACATCAAGAGATGATCAATTTTTGCGTTTTAAATAATGCTGTGATAAACATAACTTTGTACACTTTTCTGATTCATACAACAGGATAAAATCCTTGAAATTAAAATTGCTGAAAGGGTATATAGATACTTGAAAGATTTTTTAATAATTATTTCTAATATTTTACTGATTGTCAATTACTTTTGTAGCCTGAAAATCACAATGAAAAATCATAAATAATGGTTGAAAAAAATGAAAAGTTCCAACAGTAGCGAAAGGGTCTTTTAAAAATCAGTTATACAGATTAAAAAGAAAATTCCATCAGCCTGGCTGTCAGAGTACAGAGAACTATGGGGTTCCAGATTGCCTCATACAGATCAAAAAGAGAAGGCAAGAGGAAGGGATCATAGAAATAATTACAAAAATTACCAACTGGAGATGGTTACTGCTATCTTGGGTACACCACTGGTGAACAGGCATCTCTTATAAGCACACTTAATTTGTATGCTCTATTCATCAGCACATCATAATAATTCAGTAATATTAAAATGCAAATTAGGTTGCAGGAATAGGAAATAGTGAGTTAGGAAAAATCAGATCTTAAAAATATTTTTCTTAAAAAATAAAAGAAATCTAGCTTTTATGAAAAAACTTTAAAAATAAAGTATAATTGAAGTTGATTGTTATAGGAGGCACAACTGCAACAAGGCTGCTAAGTTTGGAAAGGGCTAGAGAATTTTACTAGGTTCTATTTTAAAAAGAAAATGATTTACACACTCAGCTATCTTGAATGATTATTAGTCAAAATTATTATTAGCCAAAAGTACACATTAACTTTAGAACAGACCTCTTGTAATAGGTCTTCCACAGAATGATTGAAACGATCTACAAACTCATCAATCAGCTGGCTTCGAGCTATGTCAACTCTGTTCTGGATGGTATACTCTTCACTGCATAAGATGCTATAGGTTTTACTGCAGGCTTCTAGAACATCTGATTCTACATGTTTCTCCACAACAAACTTAATCTGTTTTAACAAAGCATCCAGATGCTGAGGAGGAAAAAAAGAAAAACTGTAATATTTACATTAATGAAAAATACAGATTAGTATCTGTCAAATAATAAGCCTACTGAGTACATGAAAATAAAATAATCCAGTTAATAAAACTATTACAATAGCAGAATTTTAATTTCATAGTGTCTTACCTTTTCCATTCTACCTGTGCTGTAGATTTCTAAATCAAAATACTGTGGAATTTGTAGCAAGTTTGCTACCTTCTCTGCATCTGCAGAATACTAGAAGCAGCAGCAAAGAAAAAAGCATTAACAACTTTAACAGTACAGTGAAAGCAAACTCAATGACATATTTTAACTAAACTGTAAATAAAACTATACCTTTGATAGTAACATAGGAAGTGTGATAATAAAATGCTCAGTCAATTTGTTTCTATCATCAATTTGAGTTTTCCTTTCTTTGGCAGTTAGCACCTAGAAATAAGTGAAAATAGGAAAAGAATAAGAGTGTCATGCTAATTTATAAATCTAAAATATAACATATTAATAGAACGATGAAGCACTGGCAGATATCGAGCATTTTAAGAAGAGCTTAAACTAATTACTGAAATAAATATATCCAGGCTTATGCAAATTATTATATAACATGTACCATTACTTTATCAAATAGCTAAAGTTTAGGCAAACTACTACTTGTAAGATTAAATAAAAACAAACATTTCTATAAAACCATAATTACCATTATAAAAATATTGGAACGAATCACAAACAATTTTTCTAGGGTTTTAATCTCACTGTGTTAACAGTGATCTTTGCTATGTTCAACACACGTATACTTTTTACGTATTTTTTATTTTTTTCACACACACTTTTTAAAGTAATGCTTTTCAGATACAATCAGAAGCTAATAAATTTTCCCTTATTTTAGAAGCATATACTAAAAATATCTCTAGATTGAGTCTCCTTGTAACTAAGCTCATAAATCTGTTGGGCAGAAATGTATAGCCTGTGTTCTAGGAACAAATTTGAGTGATAATGCCTATCACTTCAGCCTGTATTCAAACTGTTAAACCATAGGTGGTTTCAAAATTAAAATATTAAAATGCAAGCCTAGTTTAAGACAATCATTTCCTTGAATTATTCTGCATTTTGTTATCATCTTGAAGGGATTTACCCTCATAATGTTGAATGGTTTTATACAACAGAAATGTCTCAACATAAATTGCCACTTTATAAATGTGAACTCCAATGTTTAAGAATATGAGCAAGAAGTAATAGAGCCTCCTATCTGACTGTTGTTCAACCTCTTAAACATATAAAAACTAATGACTTGGGAATGATCTACCAACTATTGCGTTTAGTTCTGCATAAAGCAATTAAAGGAACTACATAAAAAGTAGAATATATGTCTAGGAATGTATTCAGGATATTGAGAAGTCTTGAAATTCATCTGACAACAAAATTCATCTGACTTTAGGGAAATAGCTATTTTTGATTAAATGATCATTTTGTCAGGAACTCCACATACATGAACTCGTTTAACCCTCACAATATGTGAGGGGATAGCAAAGAGTGGCATGGCACCTATGAAGGAGGAATTTGTCAATATCTAACAAAATTGTGTATTCATTTTTCCTTTCACATAGAAATCCCACTTCTGCTAATCTATCCGACCAACATATATGCACAAGATTATTTACTACACATTATTTCTAGTAGCAAAATACTAGCGACAATCTAAAAGACTGTGAATAGGTGACTTTCAGTAGTACATCCATCTAATGGATACTACATAGCCAGAAGAAAATGAAGATCTCCAAATAAAGATATGGAGTGATCTCCAGGATACACTGATATAGAATAGAATACAAAAGTACACTTCTGTGTTTTGGATATGGTTTGTTTGGCCCCACCAAGTTTCACATTGAAACTTGATTCTCAAAGTTAGAGGTGGCTCCTGGTAGGAGGTGTCTGGGTCGTGGGGGTAGATCCTTCATGAATAGCTTGGTGCCATTCTTGTGGGAGTGAATGAGTTCTCACTTTTAGTTTCTGTGAGAACTAGCTGTTGAAAACAGCCTGGCACTTTCTCCTCTCTCTTTTGCCTCTTCTCTTGTTATGTGATATGCACACGCTAGCTCCCCTTCAACCTCTGCTATTAGTGGAAGCTTACTGAGGCCCTCGTCAGAAACAGACGTTGGTGCCATGTTTTTGTATAGACTGTAGAACTGGGAGCTAAATGAACTTCTTTATAAATTACCCAGTCTCAGGTATTTTTTTTATAGCAATACAAACAGGCTAATACATACACTGTTTTTTGTAAAAGATTGGAGGGGGGCAGGTGGAATGGGAACTACAAATACATATATCTGTGTCTTTACTTATATTTGCAAAATGAAACACTGGAAGAATAAACCAGAAACAAATAAAAATGGTTATGGTAGGAATGAAGTGTAGAGGGTCATATATAAGTAAGATTTCTCTGAATGTATCTTTTTACACGGTTTTGACTTTGTTAACTCTGTAAATGTTTTACCTACTTATAAAACATTAAATGGAACCATGGTTCCCTGGAGAAATGGCTGATTCCTGTGCTAGCGCAGTATGGAATCCAGACTTCAAGATAACCCCCAATGATTCCCACTTCCTTGGTATTCATGCTCTTGTAAAGTCTCTTCCAACAATGAATAAGGCTAACTTGTGTAACCAGAAGGATATTGTGAAAATGATATTGTGTGATTTCTGAGGCTAGGTTATAAAAGTCACCTCCTTATCTGGCTTACTCTCTCTTGGATCATTCACCTTTTGGGAGGTCAGCAGCCATGTCATAGGAACAATCAAAAAGTCCTATGGCTAGGTCAATGTGGGGAAGCTCTAAGATCTCTTACCAACAAGTCAGTAGTGACTTGCCAGCCACATGAGTGAGCCATTGTGGAAGTGGATTATGCACTTCCACTTAAGCCTTTAGATGCTAAAACCCTTGCTAACATCTTGACTATGCTAAGCCATTCCCAAATTTCTGACCCACAGAAACTGCACGAGATAATGAAGGCTTATTGTTTTTAGCCTCTAAACTTTGGAGTAATTTGTTACACAGCAACAGATAACTACTCAAGCACTAAAGGTAGAAAGTGAACTTGGGGTATCTTGATATGACAGAAAGCAAGAAAGTGCTCAATAAATATGTGAAAAGGAAAGAAATTAGCCTGAAAGGGCTATCATTAGTCAAAGTTGGGATAGTTTATTTTTTAAAGACTTTTATTATGAAAAATTTCAAAACCACTCAATTAGAACAATGTGGCCATTAACATTATATCATTCTTGTTTCATCAATTCTCCTAAAGCTTTCTTTTTCTATAGCATTTCAAGGCAAATCCTTGTAAAGCTGGCCCCTTAACAACATAGGTTTGAACTGCACAGGTCCACTTATACATAGACTTTTTTCAATAAATGCATTGGAAAATTTGTTGGAGATTTGGGACAATTTGAAAAAACTTACAGAATAACTGCATAGCCTAGAAATAATGAAAGAATTAAAGAAACTTAGATACGTCATGAATGCACAAAATATATGCAGATTAACTAATCTGATTATTTACTACCTTAAAATATACACAAATCTATTATAAAAATTAAAGTTTATCAAAACTTATGCACACAGACTGTATGTACATGGCACCATTTGTAGTTGAGAGAAATGTGAAATAAACATAAAGATGCACTATTAAATCACGGCTGAAGAGAATTAACTGTAATACATACTGTACTATTGTAATAATTTCATAGCGACCTCCTGTTATTGCAATGAGCTCAAATTTTGCAAGTATCTGCTTAAAATGCCATGTGACACTAAGTCTCTCTACATAAGTGGCTGTTCTCTCCAGTAAACTATATATCACAGTAAAAAGTGATCTCTCATGGTTCTCATGTATTTTTCATCATGCTTAGCACAAGACCATAAACCTTGAATAACATCATGGGACCCATATGAAGTGCTACTAGTGATGTTGGAAGTGCTCCCAAGGAGCAAAGTTATGACATTACAAGAAAAAACGGAATTGTCTGTTACGTCTGTGGCCATGGATTCCTCCTATTTCAAGATAAATGAATCCAGCATAAGGACCATTGTGGGGGAGGAGGAAGAAAGAAATTTGTGAAGCTGTCTCTGCAGCTATACCAGTGGGCACAAAAACTGTGCATTTTGCAAAATACTGTTTTATCTTGTATTGAAAATGCAACTTTAATGTGGGTGCTGGATTGTTGTAAAAATGGCACACCTATAGATTCTAACATGATGCAAGAAAAGGTGAAGTCATTATTTGACAACTTAAAGCAACAGGAAGGTGAAGGATCTAAACCTGGACAATTTAATGCCAGTAAAAGATGGCTTGATAATTTTAGACAGATATTTGGCTTAAAAAATGTCAAGATAACAAGAGAAGCAGCTTCTGCTGACCAAAAGGCAACAGACAACTCTCCCACAAGTTGGTAAGAAAATCATTCAGGAAAAAGGATATCTGTCTAAAGAGGTTTTTAATGCAGACAAAAGTACCCTATTCTGGAAAAAAAAAAATGCCACAAAGGACATTTATTAGTAAGGAAGAGAAGCAGTACCAGGATTTAAGGCAGGAAGGGACAGGCTAACTTTACTGTTCTGTGCAAATGTTGGGTTTATGATCAGGATTGCCCTTATCTATAAAGCTGCCAATCCCTGAGCCTTGAGGGCAAAAGATAAACACCTGCTGCCAGTCTTCTGGTTGTATAACAGACAATGAGAACCCTTTTTCTGGATTGGTTCCACTGATGCTTTGTCCCAGAAGTCATTAAGTACCTTGCCAATAAGGGGACTGCCATTGAAAGTTCTTTTGATATTGGACAATGCCCCTGGCCACACAGAACTCCATGAGTTTTCAAAACCCAACGTGTTGAAGTGGTCTACTTACCCCTAAATACATCTCTAATTCGGCCTCTAGATTAGAGGATCATAAGAAACTTTAAGGCTTGTTACATATGGTACTCCATGGAAAGGATTGTCAACGCTAGGGAAGAAAACCCCAGTAGAGAGAACATCATGAATGTCTGGAAGAATCAGACCACTAGAGATGCCACTGTTGTTATAGAAAAAGCCACAAAAGCCATCGAGCCCCAAATTCCTGCTGGAGAAAACTGTGTCCAGGTGTTGTGTATGACTTCCCAGGATTTATGACAGAGCCAATCAAGAAAATCATCAAAGAGATTGTAGATATGGCAAAAAGATGGCGGGGGGGAAGTGAAGGGTTTCAAGATGTGAATCTTGGAGAAATTAAAGAGCTAAGAAACATCACACCAGAGAAATTAATAGAAGACAACTTGGTGGAGTGAGTGCTTACAAACCAGGGCCAGATAATGAGGAAGAAGACATGGAAGAAGCAATGCCAGGAAACAAACTGACATCAGATAATCTAGAAGAAGGCTCCAGTTATTCAAGACCACTTTTG